ACTGGGGGGCATATTTGAATGGTTATGCGGTTTGTAACCGCAAACTAGGAGAAGTTTTATTTGTTTGTTGTATAATACAAAGCTACAGGTATCGAAACCCCGGTTTTTACTAGTGAGAAGACCTTCATTGCTAAAATATTTGATTGGGTGAATTAAATTCACTTGGAATTTGATTAGTTTTAATTTTCATTAATTGGAATAACAGTTAGAAACAAACGAAAATTGAATTACACTTTTGATACGAATGATAATAAATATCTTGAATATATTTATTTTATATGATACTAGTTCACCGTAGAGATTTCTATATTATTACTACTAATGGTTGATATAATAGGTATGTAATGGTATATATTTTTATTGTATGCGTTGATGCCTAATTTGTTTGACATTTTTCTACAATGTCTGGAAATCTCTATGAATTAAGTAACAGAGCTTACACTACATAATGATTAGTAACACGTGATTTTCTTCGTTAGTTCTAATCAGATTCGTTATTTGGTTCTAGGTCATCAAGATGTTGTTCATCGTGGTCGCCGTTTTCACCATCTGCTGGTTACCTCTCCAAACGTACAATATCCTACAAGAGATATACCCAAAAATCAATACGTAAGAAGTAAACTTAGATTATTCACCTCCTAGAATAAATAATTATAATAAACGTGACTTTTTATCGAAAAATAATAGTTTAGAAGTTCTAGTCAAACACAAACGTGTAATATTAAACGCGAACACTTAACTAGATCAATACGTTATTAGTAATATTTATTATTCATGATTTATTTTCACTTGAAGTCGAATGATAAAAAAATACAGTGTTTGTGAAAAGAAGGGAGAAAATATTCATTTCTGAATATTTCCTTCTGGAAAAAGTAGTCTTGGTAGATAACAAATTTCTATCTACTAAAACGATCTGCCCACTGGTTTCCCTTTAGATTCTGAAGAGTGTAACCTGCTGACACGACGTATAAAGTCTATAATACTACACATTCTATTGTGTCAGAACTCGTAAAATAAAATTGTTCTTACTACACAGATAACAATCCCCAAGAAAGATATTGTTGTTTTCAGATACTAATTGGTTGAACCGGAAATAATTGTTTTGCTCGATATCTACTGATTGACAGTTTTTGGGAATTACTTTATAGATTTCCATATTTAAAATTAATCCAATTAACATATGAAATGGTACAGTTTTGGTAATTACTTTATAGATTTCCATATTTAAAATTAATCCAATTAACATATGAAATGGTACAGTTTTGGTAATTATTTTATAGATTTCTATGTATAAAATTCATACAATTAACATATGAAATGGTACAGTTTTGGTAATTATTTTATAGATTTCTATGTATAAAATTCATACAATTAACATATGAAATGGTACAGTTTTGGTAATTATTTTATAGATTTCTATGTATAAAATTCATACAATTAACATATGAAATGGTACAGTTTTGGTAATTATTTTATAATTTCCATGTTCAAAATTCATTCAATTAACATATGAAATGGTATATAAATATACACATCAACTATATATATTTAGATTTCTTGCATAATTGATTTTGTTGAAAGCAAGTTAACAAAATACGAATTAGCTTATGTTTGTTCAATAGCTTGCAAGAAAAGCATCTTCATAAATTACATAAACAAATTATTAAATTAATTAAAAAAGTCAAGGTTTCCTGTGTCTGTGTTATCGGCTAATTCTAGTGAAAATCGTAAAATTTTTATGAATATCTCTATGTAAAATTTTTCTGCGGACTTGTGTCAGCTGTGTCAAATAAATAACATAATCTCATCTACTTTCAGTTGCCAGTAAGACATTTCTTAGTATCGGGGCGTCGATGATTACAGGAATATGTCGCCACAAAAATTATTTATTGTAACTTCTCTCTTTTTACAAAGATTGTAGCAACAAAACGGACAGCATCTGGTAAATTTCAATGAGTTGGATAGTAACAGAAATATCTGTCTAGAATACAACAAACAAATACTTTTGATAAAATCTAGTATAAAGGGTTTGTTGTTTGTTTTAAAAAGCTCGAAATTATATTAAATATATTTTCTTACATATTAGATATTTATATTAATGACATACTTAACACATGTAACATCTCTAACTCGTGAGATCTGTTTAGGAAGTATCAAATTTTAAATATATCTTTTACTGTATTAAACTAATATTTTTATAGAAACAGTCAACATAATGAAAAAATAAGAAATAATTTATTTGTTCAACTTTTTGACAATAGAGTACACAAATCTGTGTGTCTGTCTATTTGCCCGTTATTCCTATTCCTAGTTAGGTGGGTTAATCTTTACCAAACTTTGTGGGATGACATATGGGAGCAAGGGGTATGTTAATGTGTGGTTCACAACCCTCATCTGCCCCCATTATTGCTGTTATTGAACATTTATTATCTTTCACACACGTTAACGTTAATTACATCCATAGATGGCGCCACGTACTTATACCAAAAAAAAAAAGCTTCAACTTTCTATAAAACACATATACACAGTGTGGGGGAAAAGCCACACAAATATATTGTACATAGCAGAGAGTGCCCTAGCACACACTATGTAGGAATGCAATGGAGAAAATGGTCGCCACTAATGCTATAATACATAAACTCAACTGAAGTTTCTACTCCAACAGCCACCATAAGGCTGTCATGAAGAGCTGTTTCTTGAGTCATACCCACTTTCTGCTTTGATCCGCGATGTTCAACTTCGGCCCGTAAGACACGTCTGCTGCCAATGACCGTCAATTGATTAATCACGTGAAACACTGTGGAAG